CTTAAATTGGCGGAGCAGAACACCGATCCCGTGCACACAGCAGGAATTCGCAAAGAATTTTCCAATGACTTCCATACCAAAGCGTCTTCCATCTACATACAAGGAGCAAAGTCATAAAAATTCAGAAATTTGCTTGAATCTTGTGAAGATTTTTGAGCCTTTAACACATTGCGTACCGCGTGCGCCACCATGTGGCGCACGATTTCGCACGAAACAGCATAGTTTTATCTGATTTATTTGACATTTTTCAATGCTCTTGAACTGTTTGCACTCATTTTCAGAGCCGGGAAACCATACGTGTCATCACTGATAAAATTGTTGATAGATTAATGATGATACATTTTTGAAAAATATAAAAAATATACGAAGGTGCTCATACAACGGCGGTCCGCAATGTGTTAAAAAAAAGACGCATGAACCATAACAGTAGCAGCCCTCTTCCCTTGATCTCAGCAATTGCAACCTTCTCGTCGGCTAGCGACCCATCATTTATGCGTTTCTTCCCTAAGATTTGAATTTGCGAACTATTATGCGCCTACTTCCAAGATACGAGCTTCTCGTCAGGCTCTGCCCGATTTGAGAAGAATCCGAGGAATCAATCGAAACTATTTTTTGTCCAGTCTACTTTGGGCTAGAACGACTCCCAGTGGAAAATCACATTTCAGACAGGAATTGTGATTTTTGCGCCCCTCAAGGTTGCTGACAATTCTATTGTATTGAGCGTAGCCTTCGCTTCGGAAGAGTTTTCCAACAAACGATCCTCCCTTGAGTAATGGAGATGAGAGTAATGAGTCAGTAATGGGTTGAGGGGTCACGAGGCGCACTAATCGTAAGTAGGGAAGGTCAGCGAGCCAATTCGAATATAATGCATACCGTTGCATTTGTCATGAGGCGCTGAGCCTAAAGCTGTTCTCCCTATCTTCCAATATATTCTTTGAATTGAGTTATGCAATTTTTGCCCGCCATACATTGCTTGCTATCCTTGTCGAAAGTGCTCTGAGCTGTTCACAAACTCGTCATACTGTAGACCAGCGTATACAGGGTGCGCCAAAATTACGGAGACAGCGACTTCGAGTTGCCTAGGATGAGCAAGGTGCAATTCTTTGAAAACAAAAATGCAGTGACGTGCACAGTCCCATTCTGAATCGTCGACATCCATGCAATTTTTGAAATTCCTTGGTTTGTGTTTATACGGGTCCTCAGAAACATCGAGGAACCATCGACTGTGGCACGCAATGTGGCGAGTAGGACTCGTCAAGCTCATTTTAGAGCGGTTTCTTCAACGAAACCCTAGACATAATGTGTTTTATGCAAGCCTCAGCTTCTAGAACGGATCCGACAGCGTACCCTATCGAGCTCAGATCTGAAATGCTGTTCTACCACCGTTTAAGCCGACAAAGTCGAAAAAATCGGTTCTGCATCAATGCTGCACTAGTACTGAACCACCCTTGCCTCGTAAACGGGAGCTCCTACTTGATGGAAGGCCCAGCAACGATTTTCAAAGTGAAAATAAACTCAGGATAGCAATGGGCTCTGATAAGTCCAAAAGAGCCCCCCTGATTCCTATCTCTCGTGACATCCAGTGAAACCAGCGCGTCAACTACCTGCAAATTCTATCGCACACAATCCTTAGATTGTTCGTGGTCGCCACAGAAACACGCCCTTCTCATCCAGAATGACTGCATTCAGCTCCTTGTCCCCTGTACCACTTGGAGCATCTATTGATAGTGCTCGGGTATACACCAAAACGATGATAATTGTCGCGTGCCAAAAACCCTCAACGTCGAAGTCCAATGATTTAGGGACGGTGTCAGTATCAGTCAACCGCTGCAGCTACCATAGATTTTGGTGGTTGAACAAGGTAAGCATAAACAATTCTACACCACAGTACCAAAACTAGGACAGAAGAAAACAGCATCTGTGAATATCAGTTCAAATTGTTTGCTCATGCGTTGTCTCCGTAATTTTGGCGCACCCTGTATATATAAACACTGCCAAATTGCCTTTCTATTATGTGCTTGCATACATCAAAAGTCGAATGTAAAGGAGAGTTGGTTCGATGACTCTTCTAGCTTTGTAGTCTGGACCACGGGCCTCTCTTCCTCTAGGCACCATTCCAAGGCAGAAGGGGAATGCCAATTCTGAGCTCATGTCTAGGACGGATACTAACGGCACTTCCAATGACTGGCTTCCTGGTGACTGTCCCTTTGAAATATGCGATAACTTTTTTATTAGCGATGCATCATCGAAATTTGTTGAGGGTAAATGAACGCTGGCTCGGGCCCCTCTAGTTCATGTTCGATATAATAAGAATTTTTACCGGTGACCATACAAAGAACTAGTGGAACTGTCGTCAAATCTGATTTAAATCACTCGAAAAAACATGATAGTTTTCGAATGGCGGCGAAAGTGGCAGTGCGAATTTACTCCTGTTTCCCTTATGATTCGAACCTTTTTTCCGCATCGCTGCACCGTAGCTGGTAAATACCCATTGTTCTCCTCCTCTCAATTTTACAATGTAATGAATGTCGTGCTAATTGGGACGCGCCAAGGCTCATTACCGTTCTTAGCGTTTATTCTCCAAACGTGAAATCGAGAAAAAGAGTCACGAGATTTCCTTCATTTGCTGTCGTTTGCAGTGACAACGGGGCATCACTGAAACATGACGATCTCCTACTCTGGCAACTTCTTTCGTCTACTTCTTCGATGGAAAGGCTCTCTGTGGCGATCTGTGTGGAGGGAATTACTCGTCTATCTCGCGCTTTTCTACGTTGTCAAGTTTTTCTACCTCGTTGGAATCGACTATCTCTCAGAGGACTCCACCGATCGAGAAATGTATAGGTGAGCCGAACCCTGGCTGTAACTCGGCTATTTTTGATAGAAATTTTTCTGTGGCTAGTAAAAAAATCCGTATCAAGTACCTTTCCCTGCAGTTCAAGACGGTCTGTTGACAATTTTTAGAGTGTAAATACCACACATATAATCTCATACGATATCACTTGTGCAAAAGAGTAGCGCATATCATACTATCACACCCGTGATTAGTTATCTACTTACTTAGGTAGCTCGCTTAATGATTGGCCTGCACATGAACTCGACTCTGGTGATGTAGTGAAAGGATAAAAATAAAGCTTTTGCCGTTGGTCAATCCAGTCTTGGTATGCGGCGACCCTGGAAGGATGGGAGGCTTAGTTGGCCCGGACGAACCACGACCCAGGATTTGATCCCCGGGCTGCGCACGTGGTAAGCGTGCCACTTCCATCCCTCCAGGGTCGGTTAATTGGTACCAGACTTGTCTGGGAGGATAAAAACACTGACTTGTACATCGGCTGGCCCCCGCAAGTCATTGTATAGGCCACATCGCATTCAAACGCCACTACGAATGTACAAATGGAAGTAGAATGCGTGCCGCATCCCAAAAAGGGATTGATCAACGGCAAATGCTTTATCCTTTATTTAGGGTTACACTTCAAAATGTAACCGCAGTTTCCGCATAAATACAATTTTTAACTTTGTGGGTAGATAAAGGCGATAGGAATTCAAAGGGGGTCATTTCGAATCCTCGAATGAAGTTGACATTTTTACATCCTTTTTTTACTTTCGCCTCTTACGTCCCTATATTCTTGTATATCGCTTTCGGTGGGCGATGAAATAGCAGCTTCACCACTTGGAATGGAAGTGATGAGCTCTGTTCAATGACGGTGTGGCGTAAGCGGCGCATGCTCCTCAAAGGTTCTACGTGTTGGATGATCATTGCTCAGAAGATGAACTTTAAAGTTAGCTCCTATCATCAAGAGCATGTTAAAAGCAAAAAGTTGAAAGTTCTCCCAGGAGAATACTGCACGAATCAGTTCTTATTGTGCGCTTACCGCTACGTCTATGTACTGCTGGGTGTGACACTCTAATGCATAGCCCAACGGCCATAGGGGCTAGCAACGGCAGACTTCTCATAT